TCTTTCCCTTGAGTCAATACTACAAAAATCCTTGAACGGCTTCTCCTGGTAATGAAGGCCTTAAGAAGGTGTTTGATAAAAAGACAAACCTTTACGTAGGGATTTACAGGATTTTTTTAAGCTGATGATACTTAAGAAAAGCAATTATTTTTTGTAATTTGTTATTTTATACTCCGAGAAGCTCTGATAGGCTGGCATCATGTTTTTAACACAGCCATACGACAAATTTTTTCCTTAATAGCCTCAAAACATGTAATTATACTCGATAATCACGTTTTGTGAGTGTGTAAGGCCCACGATGGTGATAGCTGAATACCCAGTCCAGCATATCTCTGCTGCGCACAATGTTGGAGTAACAGCGTATTAACTGAGTATTTCACACAGTAAAGTTCGCTACAATCATTAACGTCATTAACGTTATTATGTATTTCATGCCTGGAAGACTTTCTGCAGCTCTTTTAAACAGGCAATCACCATGGAATCTGACTGCAGGTTTTCTCCAGTCACAACCATGACACTAAAATACACTCATGTCTTACATACATCCCTAACACAGCACGTTCATTGCTTCCCAATACTGGATACCGGCACATTAGGTGAAGACATGCCTCAAACTCTTTCTTTTTTTTTTCCCCCTGCTCATTATTGCTGTGAATATCCCAAGTTTAGCCCCTACAGCTGAGCTCGCTGTGCACAGGCCATGGCATCCCTGTCCTGGTGACTCCTTCCATGACTCAGGGGTTCCTGGTGACAGCAGATGGGACAGCACTGGTGGGACTGAAGGCTCAAACTTGAGAGCAGGATGAAGTGGATCAATCACTTACTTTTGATGATGGGTTTCAAGACTTGCTGGATGAATGTTCCAGCAAGTTCTGCTCACTGGGACCGTTTCCTACTCTTGCATCTCTCCTCTGTGCCTCTCCAGGAGGGAGCAGGCATCTCGGGATGCTGCTGGGCCCCCAGTTTAGACAATGTCCACTTTTCAGCCTGGGACTGACTGACTGAGGAAATGGGGCCTCAGAAGAGCCCTTTGCAAACTCATGTCTGGTTTGTAGTAATAACTACTGATAGCTGGCATCAAGGCTCCTGAAAGGCATCTCAGACAATTTAACATCTGCCTTCTCTCTCATTTTAGGATGCTCTTTTGTGTCCCCTGGCATTTCCCCTACCCACCACCTTTCCCTCAGTATACAAACCTTAAGCGGCAGCAGTTGCTAAGGCTACAAGAGGCTGCAGTGAATCTGCGTGCGGATACGGGGAGGGTTGGGTAACGGAAAAGGATGAGACCAGAAAATTGCTTGTTTCAAGTCACTGGAGAAGCAGCCACGGAGAGAGGTGGGGGTGGATGCAGGGCAGACAGGGTGCTGGTCTATAACTGTTTTCACACGAGCACTTCAGCCTGTAACTTCTAACCCCAGTGTGTACACAGGTGTTTGTACCTGTGTGCCCATTTGCCCAGGAAACCAACATCATCAGTAGAAAAAAAATAACTGATTTTATTCTGAAACAAGCAGTCCTTAGTGAATGAGCAACTGGGGTTTGTCAATGGTATAAATTATTATTAAAATCTTAACAAGTGAAACACTGATTTTAGAATAATTCTTGCATTTCTGGTTGAGGAAACACAAATCACAGCCTTGATTTCACTTCCAGAAGATTTCAGAGAGCCCACATCTTTTCTGCAAAATACCAAGGAGTCTGTTGTCTCTGAAATATTCCCGTGTGCAGTGAAGCACACTGTTTTCTCTAGCCCCATATGTTTTTTTGGCTCCCTTTTTCCCTGGGGTGCAATAACTGTGCAAAATTGTGGAGATCAGACACACAATTGTCACATATGGACCAAAAAGCAGAAAGTAAAACACTATGAGATTTGCATCTCCCCGGAGAAAGAGCAGAGGCAGGGGCTGGAATGCAAACCCAATGCGAGGGAGAGCATCCCCCTGCCCAGAGTCTGTCTGGAGAGATACAGGTTATTAAAGCAAACTAACAGGATGCAAAGGCCAAAGCAGCAGCGCCTTATTATCAAGCTGCAAGCATAAAAATGTGCCAGGAGATGTTTCTGATTAGCTGGGTTAAATGCCTGTTCCATCTCCGCTGAGCAAAATACCAGATTAGCTTCTGCTGAAGAAGAGACGCCTCGTGAGATTTTGACACTCAAAACAGGTTTCCTTGGCTATTAGTTAATAAACCTCAAGCAGCTTCTCTTTTATACTCATCTAAAAGCAAGAGGGAGAACCAGATCACATAATGGCCCGAAAGCATGGATGCATTTTATTTTCGTGTAGCAGATAGCGCCTTAGTGTTTAGTTAGTGCTGCTTCCAGTACAAACACGGAGCGCGCACCGCAGCCGATGGGAGGGCTGGGAATAGCTCCGAGGGCAGCGTTTGGCCTTTCCTCCTCTGTGCTCCGTCTAACGCGGGCAGCATCCCCTGATCCGTGTTGACAGGCGCGGGATCCGCGCTGCTCCAGAGCAGCTGAGGCAGGGAGGGAAGGAGCAAGGGATTATTGCGGAGGGGCGAGTGATGCCCTCCTGGCTGAAACCACCAGGACAGCAGCTGAATACAGGAAAAATCATAAGGAAATGCTTCACTTTCTGTGGATGCCCCAGAGCTGTGTCCTGCCTCACACGCTGAAGTGACTGGCACACTTATTGCTCCCCTGGTCGCTAGGGTTCTACTTCTTCCAGGCATTTCTGTTGGCTGAAGCAGTGTGTATTCCCTCTCCAAGGCTAGCCAGATTTGTACTACTTTATTGCTCTAATAGCATCTAGGAGCTCTATGCTTCCGATTTCTTGCAACTACTCTCTTCTTGGGTCATTACCTCTAAAGCACGACCTATTCCAGGGCAGATGGCTTGAAAGAGTCCTGGAGGACTATTCACTACTGTCAGAGCAGGGTAGACCTTGTCCTCTGGGTACTCTTTCTCCAGAAAAAGCCTCTCGCAGATGGGAGCGCTGCAGAATGTACGGTTATTAATGAAGAGGCCATTAATCCCTTCAGACACCCTACTTTCGTGCGCAGTCCTTAGTTGGTGGGGCAGAACAGGCAAGATCAAACAGGATTCAAACCAGGAGCTGTAAGGGACCTCTAAACCAGGCTGCACAGGACATGGCTCAGTCTTTATCAAACGCAACCTGGATACAGGCACTCATTCACCATGCTCCTCCACCGCAGG